CCCACAATCTAAAATTGACAAAATGAATTCCCAAAGGATTAACGAACTGCACGAAGCGAAAGGAAGATCTACTAGATATTAATTAAATTATAAATATATCAATTCATGTGAATATGACTGAAAATTTTCATTTTTTTCTGAAAAGGTGGTGTCTATTTACTTGTGACCACGCTGTGTATATTGGTATTTGTAATTTCTCATAATACAGTCTATTAATCGGACGTTTTACAATTATGAAAAAATAGGCTTGGGGGAAGGCAGCCGTTTTCATGGTGCATAATGTATGTTACTTATTATTTGAAGCGTAGAATATAAGGTAATTAGTATATAATATTTAATAATAAAAATGTAATAACTAATCACTAATTAAACTTAGACGATCGTACAGGCTTTAACGAAGATGGTGATTTAAATACGATCGTCACAATCTTATTGTGAATACTTAAAGCTGCATAATTTCTATAGGAAATATAGAACTGATTACTTACTTTTCCAAAACATCTGTCTGATTAATAGGGGACTGCTGGCTACTGGCTGCAATGGCCAATTTAACTCTCAATCAAGCCTTGTTCTATCGGGTCGTTCCTGATGACCAGGGGTTCGAGAATGACTATGCTGGAATTTTCCACTTCAGATTCTGGCAGTATGGTCGCTGGATTGATGTGGTTGTAGATGATCGCCTACCAACTTTTAATGACACTCTGGTGTTCATGCACTCTAAAGATAAAAATGAATTTTGGAGTGCTCTTCTGGAAAAAGCTTACGCCAAGTAAGTATTGTGGAAATCACTATTAATATCAATTCTTGCAAGCAGCTTAACAATAACCACATTTACAGCACATTATTTAATATCAATCCTTGCAAGTAGCTCAACAACAAACCACATTTACAGCACATTATTTAATATCAATCCTTGCAAGTAGCTCAACAACAAACCACATTTACAGCACATTATTTAATATCAATCCTTGCAAGTAGCTCAACAACAAACCTCATTTACAGCACATTATTTAATATCAATTATTGCAAGCGGCTCAACAACAAACCCCATTTACAGCACATTATTTAATATTATTTTTTGCAAGTAGCTCAACAACAAACCACATTTACAGCACTTTGTTAATATTAATTCTTGCAAGCAGCTCACCAGTAAACCACATTTACAGCATATGGAGAGTTATATTCGTGTATTGGCAAAAAAGAAAGCGACAAGAATCGGTAAAGACAAAAAAAAAGTCTGAACATGAATTTACCAGAAAAACAATTTATTTTTCTTACTCTTATATTACAACAATACTTTATTTAATTTTAACTCTTTTTTCAGTAAGTTTTCATTTAAAGTTACAGCAACTGGCATGAACGTCACAAGCAAAAAATGTATAAAATTAATTTCACTGACTATACAATAACACTATTTGCCTTAAAATATAACCTCACCCCTGGCTTTCCAGTGAACGACGGTCGATCCTCAACCTCTGAGTGGCGCTTAAGGCAGGTCTAAATGATAGGTCCATCCGGACACTAGGGGGGATGGGGTTAATAAAGTGGACAATTAGTATATAAAGAAATTTTAAATAGAAAGTCTCTTTGTTTGTTTGTTGGAAGATAAGCACAAAGCTACACAGTAAGCTATCTGCGTTCTGCCCCAGGGTATCGAAATCCAGTTTCTAGCGTTGTAAGGCCGCAGACATATCACTGGGGGCTTTGTTTGTTGGAAGATAAACACAAAGCTACACTATGGGCTATCTGTGCTCTGCCCACGATGGGTATCGAAACCCGGTTTTTAGTGTTGTAATTCTGCAGACATACCGCTGTGCCACCGGGGGGCTAAGTAGAAGGAGAGTCATTAATGTTGCAAGTCAATTGGTGTAATTTCAGTTGTAGCATTGTTTTTGTCTTGTTCTATTTTACAGAGACATAGATACTCTTCATACTCCTTTCCACAAGCTCACGTTTTAGTTTGTTTGAAGTTAAGCACAAAGCTACACATTAGGCTATCTGTGCTCTGCCCACCACGGGTATCGAAATCCGGATTTTAGCGTTGTAAGTCCGCAGAAATACCGCTGTGCGACTGGGGGGTCACGTTTTAGAAAGAAAAAACGAAAATTATCTGATACTGCAAATGAAAATAACCCCCAATAACGTATACACGGTTGGACTTGCAAAAGAAAAGAACAAGGACATAAACAATAGCAGCTATATAGTAACAGAGTAGTTCTGGTTATCAGATTGGAACTCACGTGAAAGAAACCGCCAAAACTAAACTAAAAGTAACGTCGTCTGGTTAGGGCACTCGACTCGTAATATGAGGGTCGTAATTTCGAATCCCCATCGCCAAACATGCTCGTCCTATGAGGATCACGACCAGGTCAGCCACATAGGTGGAAAATTCTTGGCTTACAAGAATATCAGCCGACCCGAAACTAGTTGGGATTAAGGCCGTAAAGGAAAGCCGAAAAGAAAAACAACAACAAAAAAACACTACACGTTTGATCCAATATATGCATTAATCCATTGTTTAACTGATCATACAAGAAGTAAAATAATAATGATACTCTAGAACTGTTAGGTAACGATGAAATATTTTTTATTATAATGAGTCACATTTCTTGGTCAAAGACTCGCAAAATCAAACTTTTTTTAAAAATTCATAACCAGTGAATCATTATGTCAAAAGTTTATATGTAAATATTGCTAGCATTTGTTGACTGAAAGGGTTTTCTGTTTTGTTGCAGAACCCAATTCTTTTATTTGTTTGGTAGAATTAAATAAACGAAAAATCAAGAACAACTTCGATATGTAAATGTTAATTTATATATATATTTTTTGTTCCGACTGAAGTTCTCAGACTGTCACTTTAAGTACCCATAGTGCAGTTCGTTATAGCATAAGATAATCTTGATTTGCTTCTTTTCCTATCAGAACAAATGATTAGGATCTTTGTGTATATTAGTTCTAAAGTAATTAACGGAATACTTACCAATCGAATATGACACAATATATAGACAATAATCACAACTGAGCACTAATAACAGGCTCATTATTTAATAATTAAGACCACTGTTCTCATGTATGACAGATGTAATTTTGTTTTGATAATTGTTCAGTTACTCATAATAATAATTTTTAGATTACACGGATCTTACGAAGCACTCAAGGGAGGAACTACCTGCGAAGCTATGGAGGATTTTACTGGAGGCGTGACAGAATTTTACGAGATTAAGAAAGCTCCAGATAACCTGTTTAAAATCATGCTAAAGGCCTACGAAAGATGGTCTTTGATGGGATGCGCTGTAGAGGTACAAATTATTCTAATGTCATCTGATTTTTGGTAAACAAACGGAATGCCCAGATATTTTCATAGGCTTTAGGTACTGAACAAATACCACGTACATTAAAGTTAAACATGATAAAACTGGTTATATATGATATATTCCTATTTTTTTCTGCCTCACCCCAGTGTCTCAGCGGTAAGTCTGAAGGCTTATAACGCTAAAAATTGGGTTTCGACAGCCGTGGTGGGCACAGCACAGATAGCCCATTGTGTAGCTTTGTGCTTAACAAAAACACGAAGGAACAAAACTTATTGTGCTATGATATGCGCACTTTGACCTGCCCCTGGCGAGAGGTAATGGAACTGAGTATTGAATTAACTCGGTGGATGTTGTACTTTTTACTATTGTTCTCTCAGCTCTGAACTCAGCTGTATTTTTTCTATCGTTTAAGTTTGTAAATGATAATATATATAACAAAACTACATTTATACAGCTTAACTTCCAGACTTCTCTAAAACTGGTCATTTTGAAAGTTTCTGTGAAATCATTGTTGCATATGCAACATATATATATTTTTATTTCAGTGAATGTTTTTACAAGACCCCCCCCCCCCGTGATTCTAATTCTGGGCTATGTTGAAAACTCATAATAAACTACTGATTTTTTTTTATCATACTTTAATAATAAATAAAAGTTACAAAAGCTGAAGTGGTTTTTATTTATCATACGTTTAAGACTTGGGTCAAGTTAACCGGATCATTTGAAATATTTTTTATGTTTCACCACATCCTGGGCCCGACATGGCCAGGTGATTACGGCGCTCGACTCACAATCTGGGGGTCGCGGGTTCAAATCTCCGTCACACCAAACATGCTCGCCCTTTTAGCCGTGGGGGCATTATAATATGACGGTCAAT